TGTGACATGTTGACCCCTACCTCCCCAGCGGTACGTGGCGGTAACGTAACGCTCGCGTTCTTACGGTAATAGGCGAGTTCCCGCCCCGCCACTCCCCTCCGCGGTGACGTCACCGAGGGATATCGCGGTCGCTAGGCAACGCGAGTCAACAGCGGCGACGTTACGATAGTAACAGCGGTTACCTCCGCTAGCGTTACATAGCAACACAGCGCCAGGCAAAAAGGGTGCCTATTACGTGGCCGTTTTCCCGTACTGTCCGATCGAGGCTACATACGGAGCAGCGAAGGCTATTCACAGTCAGTTCTAGTGTGGCTACCGCAGGTCAGTTGTACTGAGTTGTACTGAGACAGTCAGCGAGTCCTGGAGCTACCGCCGAGTTAGCCAGCAGCTAGTCAGTTGTATTATGGCATTTTTCATTGTACTAATTGTGATACTGCAGATAGCAGTAATCGTCAGATTGTAATTTGGGTGATTTAAGTGCGAATGTGAAATAAAATTCGCTAGATAAAATACATCGTGAAGTTATTTGTCGCGTTATACCCCGCGATACGCGACACTATCCTTGTAACAGGCTATGGAGGCCGATAGGGTTGTGAGATGTTGAGGTTCCCACATTTTCTAGACAATCGACTCATAGAAGGCTGTGAGGTTGTCAGCACTATACACTGGCTGCCTTTGACCCCCAGGAAGATTCCTGGTACTCATTTTTGTTAGATGCTGAGTCGACCTCAGGGTCATACTGCTGCAAGGGAGGATTAGGTCATTTGAAAAACCCAGTGACCCCATTGGGAACCCAACCCATGACCTTTCGCCTCATAGCACAGTCCCTCAACCAACAATGCTACCCACATAATGGGAGTGAAAGCAAATTCACATTTTCTAACACACATATGACTGCAGCTGCAAAGTGTTCACTTTTGGATGCACAGGATAGCATGATAGGATCCGAGAGTCTTATTTCAAAAGTGACTGCAGTAATGACATGAAAGACAACATCTAACATTTTGCATCATTATGTTACATATAAAGAGAATATTTACTTACTTCAATGCCTGAATGGCAGCCTTCAATCCCATTATCTGTCGCTCCTACAGGCAGTAATTTTAAATCTAGAAAGATAATACAAGCATATGTTCATGTATCTGGCACATTACTGAAGATCAATGAGCCATAACATAAGGGCATACACAATATTGCAAATATAAGACTAGTCATTTGACGGTAAGAAGTCTTGACTGTTGCTTCGGTGTGTAGTCACAAGTTACTGTTATGAGCTTTGCTCAAAAACATGGCTTCACTTCTGAGTAACACATTACCATCACTAAAAACTGTTGCTCTGAAATCTCCCAAAAAGCATCAGCAATGACAGCACCTGAACATCTGAGGATGGGGATACGGTTTCTGTAAACCATATCGTAAATTATGACAAGAAATTCACAGATCCAGATTCAACCCACATCGGGTTGACTTTCTACTCAACTGCTTATAAATAATTATTTATAATATTACGAGAAGATCTGGGAAGAACCAGACCCCTTCATTCCTTTTATATGACACAGACTGCACAGAAAACCAATATACAGACAACAAGGTGATCTCATACTCATTCATGGAGCTTGAGCCCTTCTTGAGAAGCCGCCAATTCTGCAGCTACTCAGGAACTTCCCAGCATTTTATGGAACCTGAAGGTTTATTACCCTCTTCACAAGAGCCTTCCACTGACCCGTCCTGAGCCAGATCAAGCCAATCCATACCATCCCATCCTATCTCTCTAAGATCCATTTTAATATTGCCCACCCACCTACATCTTGGTCTTCCTAGTGGTCTCTTTACTTCTGGCTTTCCCACCAATATCTTATATGCATTCCGCTTAGCCCCATTCGTGCTACATTCCCCACCCATTTCATCTCCTTGACTTGATCATTCAAATTATACCTGGAGAAGAGCACAAGTTATGAAGCTCCTAATTATGCAGTTTACTCCAGACTCCTGTCACTTCATCTCTCTTTGGTCCAAATACTCTCCTCAACACCCTGTTCCCAAACACCCTCAATCTATGTACTGCCCTTAATGTCAGAGACCAAGCTTCACACCCATACAGAACCCCAGGTAAGATTATAGTTCTGTACATTCTAATTTTTATGTTTTTAGACAGCGGATGAGAAGGTGATCTCATAAGCCTCCTTTTATGTTTTCAATAGTAGGCTAAAAATGGATCTTACAGAAAAAGTGTGTAAGGGAGTGGAGTGATCTGGCTCTGGAGAGGGGCAAGTGACAGGCTCCTGTTAAAAACACAATGAAGAGTTTTATCATCTGGGATATAACGTCATATAAGTCTGCTGAAAGTCAACAGACGTTTCAGAGGAGCACTTCACCTCCATCTTCAGGGCTGAAGAATAAGCCAAGACAAGCTCTGCTTGCCACCTGCTTTCATGTTTGTTTCTTGCTTGGCTTATTCTTTGACCCTGAAGATGGAGGCAAAATGTTCCTCTCTGAAACATCTGTTGACTTCCAAAGGACTACACGGTGTTATATTGCAGAAAATAGAACTCTTCGTAACCACCGCTCTGAGAACCTCAAACCATACAAGATAATGAACTTCCAAGTTCCATGCAATGCTTCAAATTCCTGAGAACTACAAGACTGTTAGGGGCATGGCTATATTGAGTTACTTTCTATGGCTCTTTAATGGTAATCCAGACTATATGGCAGTGAATGGATGACAGCAAATGAACTGGAAAATATATGAAGGGAAGTGGTGAGCTGGGATAGCGTAGTCGGTATAGCAACTGGCTACAGACTGGATGACCAAGGGGTCAGAGTTCGAGTCCCAGGAGGATGAAGAACTTTCTCTTCTCCATGTTATCCGCATTGGCTCTGGGGCCCACTGAGCCTCCTATCCAACGGGTATGGGGGGCGCTTTCCCCAGGGGTTAAAGCGGCAGGGGTGTGAAGTTGATCGCTCACTTGCAACCAGTGCTGAGGTCAAGAAAATATGGATCTATACATCCACTCCCTCATATACCTCATGTGTAATGTTTAATTTGTTAACCACAGGGACAGCTTTAGCTTTTACCATGTTAAGAGTTTAATGTGTCTCATTTATGGCTCTCCACATATCAAATAGAAAATGTTTCCTGCCAACATTTTATAGACATTACGATAATCTCTCCTAATAGAATTTCATATTCTTTCCTTTAAAAGTGCACTGTTTCTGTGATTGGCGGGACAAAAGGATTTCCTCATACAGCCGCAAAGAAAAAAGTTTACAGGAGACAATTTGGGTTACCACAGCAGAAAGAAAATGGGCCCACGTTGGCCAAATTAATGATCAAGCAGCTGCTCGTACAAGAATACTGTGACATTATAAAACTGAGGCACTGCCCCTCCTCTCAGAACACATCTGGTTTATGGTCTAGCAGCTGAGGCATCAGCCAAAATTCAATATACTGAAATAAACAATATAGCTGACTATGTTTCCAACACAGAAGAAGTGAGTATATGTCAAAGACCAAAATGCAAAATACATTCACATTTAGACTATCCATCATGTGTCCAATGAACTACAAGGCCTGACATTCCAAATGCTCAAATATTAATCTGGTCACCTTCACAATGTGCAATGTTGCCTCATGACTAAAAAAACAGACTTTTGATATGCACAGGCCCCATCTCCTTTCCACAATCTTTACTCGATTGACCCTTACACAGTTTTCTTTCTGTGGGACTATATCAAGCATGAAGTGTTTGTTCCACCAATTCTGGAAACTTTGAGGTACTTCAAAAAGAAGACTAAAAAGAATTCACTGTGATGTGTCACAAAATGTCAGATGAAAAACAGAGTACCACAAAACCTCAAGTTGAGCACGTATTGAACTTTGTCATGGTAATAATATTAACAATATAAGAAAAGGGAATTTCAGTTCTTTTCATTCCTGTGGCATGATTTTAAATTCGTCACTGGTTGTTTCATAATAAATATTTTGAAAGTGCACAGATCATTTCTAATGAAAATGTGTACTTATTCCTAATTCAACTTTCTACTCTGGGACATTTAATAATTGCTAGCATAAAAGTAGTTTCAAAGTTAAGATCACAAAACATGCAATTATGGTATATCATCTTGTGTTAAATGTTTCAAATCTTATTCTCTTCTCTGTGCTAGGTGGTTAGAATCAGTCTATGAAGCAGCAAGAAGACAAGTCAGAAACTAAAATACGATATTTGCTGATAAAATCTAATCTTGACTGATACTAGTAATGTTAGAAGCAAATTCAAACAATGCTAAAATATAAAAATACCACAAGAAGGGTGCTGAATATGTAGACAAAGTGATGAAAGAAATAAATTCTGGATAACCATAACCTAGCAGTGAATCACTTTCTTTTACACAATTTAACTGCATATGAGACATGCTATTAGTGGTTAGTATCTCGCCATCATTATGCAATTCAAATTTAGGTTAATGGAACCAGAAAAGTGCCAATTTCGAGCCCCTGGCTTCTGAGACCCATATTTAATTACTATCAAGAGCATAAGATACACAGCTGTATAAAGCTGTATTTACCATCTTTACAAAATTCTTTCATGCTAATGAAATGTGACTATATTTCCACACAACACTTGCAACTCAAATACGTCTGAATTGTTTTAAACAATGTAATTAAAGGAAAACAAGGAAATATGCATTTCTCCTGGCAAAAGTTAGGTTATGAACTAATTTTAAATTGGAAACAATCCATTCAACTAACAATTTTGTTCTCTGGCAAAAATTAACGTAGTCCATATACTCTGACGTCGTTCGAAGCAAGAACTAGCTCTTATAATGCTACATTTGTGCCAGCGTTCTGTCCCAAACTACATTAATCAAGTCCTCATGGCTTCTGTACACTACATGATTCTCAAGTTCAGCATCATCTTCGTAACAGCTTCTGTCTGTGTTTTTCACGTGGTTTGTAATTTTATCCACTTCATGCCACAAAGAAAACTTCGATAAATGATATTATTTTCAAAACTTGTTGACAAATATTTCACAGAAACTCATTTGACAAGACAGAAGGGACAGGCTATTTACCGCCTGTGTTGGATGTCTCGGCGTAAGCTACTTTGACAGAAGCACAACAGATCTCTTCAATTCAAAAGACTAGCCTAAACACATAAATTCACTGTTATATGCATTTAGAATACACTCTACAATGTACATATAAATATATACTTTAAATAAACTTACTGTCACATATTAAAAACATAAATCTTCTCGCCACTTTACCTAGACCGACCTAGACGGATTGAAGAGCCGTGAACATATGATACTTCCGGTGCGAATGAGAATTCTGCTAAGCAACAACGAAGACGATGTAGACTGACCACAACATCAATGTTAATCACAGTCAACTACGAGCTAATAAATTAATGCAATCGTTTGAGTGACAAACATTATAGTTTTGTTAATTACCCTAGTCTTGGTTGGCTTAGTCGACCTCGTTAAGCATTACAGAATTTGGTTATATTTATATGAAAATTTTTCATACATGTTACTATGACAACAGAGTCAATGGGATGAAACAAGTAAAAAGGTGGTGTTTCAGGACTAAATGCTGATATCTGAAAATAAAGCTCATGGAAGCTGTTTTAAGTGTAATATTTTGGTTTGAAAGGAAAATTAATAAACATTTGTAATGTTTTTAGAATGTTTTATTTAAATAGGTTGGCACTTAAAAGTGAAAAAGATGCATAATATGATTAAAAATAGAAGCCAGCTTTTTGTCTTGAGTAAATGCAGCAGATGGAATGTAAGTCTGTATAAAAGTTAATTGGACATATTATTTAAAATTTACAGCCAAAAATTTGCAGGAAATGTTTAATATAATGTAGTATGAAGCAATTTTTTTTTTTTGAGGTATAATCATGGTGGCCAACCCTGTGTTGCCAAATGAATCTGAATTGAAGTTCAGAACCAAGCAAGTGATGGTACTATTCAAATGAAATTCCAGCAACCTTTTTCCCATTGTGATATCGTTGCACGTTATTAAATAGAGCACATAACTCTAGCAGACATATTGTATCCATTTCCCTCATGCCATTTGAATTTAGTGACAACACTTCTGGTCAAAGATGTGACCTGTGAACAGTAACATGTTCTAAATTGTACTCTTCTAAATGTATTTTAGGTCAGGAATCTCCAGAATAAATAATTTGGAGTAAATTTAAAATAATGTGTGCATGTAATTCTGCCACTATAACATCTACAAACATTATGTCTACTACAGAAGTTTTACAAAGTTTGTGTTTTATCTCTGCTTATTAGACTCTGCGTAAACATAATATAAAACAAGATTAAATATCTATCTATTGGGCTACCTGTTATTTTTGTTATTTCTTCTTCCAGAAATTCTACATCTCTTGCCACAATTATTTGAGATAGATTGTGGGGATCTGATAACCGATAAGCTTTACTTTCCTCACTATATCCCATAAAAATGTACTTCTTGCCCACAGCATCCAATTTTTGGCGTTTCTGTGATGGTACATGAGCATACGCTGGACATCCAAAAATTTTTATATGGGAGAGATCAATCTTTTCTCCTGTCCATATTTCTTCAGGCAATTGATTCTTTAGTTTCTTGTGAGGTGATCTGTTTAAAAGATATACGGCTGTTTGAGCTGCTTCAGCCCAGTATCTTTTGTTGCAGCCGGAATCATACAACATACATCTTGTTTTTTCCAAAATGCTGCGATTAGCTCTTTCGGCAGTTCCATTTTGTTGTGGATTATACGGCACAGAGAATTCCCTTTTGATTCCCTTTTGTTTTAACATGTTATTGAATAATTTGCCGCAAAATTCACCACCATTATCGGAACGAACAGCTTTTATTGTCAATCCAGTTTCTGTCTCAATCATTTTCATAAATTCTTTAAAGGCTTCATATGTGTCACCTTTTTGTTTCAAGAAACGAATGAAGATTTTTCTACTATGATCATCCACAATAGTCAAAAAATATTTAGCATTCCCATAAGAGGGTACTTCAAACGGCCCAACCAGATCTAAATGCAATAGATCAAGTATTCGTTTTGACCGTTTGTTCTTTGATTGTAGGAAAGGCTTCTTTGTCATTTTGCCTTCCAGACATGGAACACATTTCTTTGACTGATCTTCTTGTTCTTGAAAATCGAGGCCACTAGCTAAACCTTTTTTTAGCAACCGCATGCTAACCCTATTTAAATGCCCCAAATACCTATGCCACAACAGTTGTTCATCAACTTGCTGGGTACTTGCAACTTGTTCATTCTTTACAGTGTTAATACAATATTTTTCACATTTGTGATTTTTCTTTTTTGGTATTAATCTTATCTTTAGTTGCTATATTTGCAGATTGGGACATGTTGACGTTGGTATTTAAACAATAAATCCCATTTTCGGGATATGCTTTGGCAAGAACTTTGCCTCTTACCTGAAAATCATCAGTATCATATAACTTGCAACAGTCTTTGGTGAATAACACAATTCTACCCTTATTTACAATTGAGTTTACAGACAACAAATTTGTAGACAATCCCGGTACATGCAATACATCTGAGATATGGCTATAATTGTCATTCATAAGGTTTACATCACAAAAACCTGCACTGGTTAACATATTATCATCAGCAAGGGTTACTTCATGTTCCTTAGAATCATGTGTTTTATAATTTTGCAATATAGTGTTATTTCCGGTCATATGGTGTGAAGCACCAGAGTCTATTACCCAAGTGTTCTCTTTAATTTTAACATGATGGGCAGACACCATATACATGGATCTTTTACTGGTCTTATTTTTCCATTTATTTTCATTACACCTATGATTGGATCCTTCTTTATTTTCATCAGTACTATCAACTGATTTAGAAGACTGATTGCTCTTAAATTTTTGCTTATGCTGATTGTTATGATTATTATTGTTCACCTTATCCTTATCTTTGAACCAACAGTTTTTGTTTATGTGGCCTAGCTTACCACAAATTTGACATTTTGCTGGTTTATGTTTAATCTTATCTTTGGACAGAAAGGCTGAATCTGAATTTGCATTTTTACCAAATTCAGTGTCTTGCAATAGCTTAGATTTAATGAGCTCACTAGTCAGAGTTACGTTGGAGTTTTCAAGCGCCATACGCATGGGATAATACTCTTTAGTTAAACCCTTTAACATTAATGCAGCTAATAGCTCATCATCTTATTTTTTTGTCCATTGAGACTAGTCTGAGATTTATTGACATGAAGGCATTAACATATTCCTGCATGCTTTTATAGTCCTCAAGTTTCAAAGAGCACAAATCAGTTAAAATACTTATCCAACTATTGACTCCCTGATCTTTGAATGTTCTTTCCAACGCGTCCCAGGCTTCCTTTGCTGTTGTTGTCTGGATGATGTAAGATTTAACTTGGGGCTCCAATGTCAGACAAATGATGGCTCTTGCTTTCTCGTCCTTTTGTTTCTTGATGAATACAGGCGTTGTGTCTTCTGCAGGATATCCTTCGACTGCTGACCGCACAGTTTCAATCACTAGAATATTTTGAATATCGAAGCACCATTCTCTATAATTTTCGCGTCCTTTGAGCCTATCAATATTTGCGAAGGGCTTCGAAGTGGCCATGATGAAACTTGTTTCTTTGTCTTGATAGCGGTGTCTGTCCAAAGGATCACTTTTAATAACACTTTTCACTTCTATACTTTTTACACTTATCAATGATATGATCCTGGGCCCATAACCTGTTATTTTTATTACTTCCACGTGGATCGAATGTCTTAAGAATGGCATTCTGTCCCAGAAAGTTTTAATTTTAGCATTTACACTGATGAGCCCCTCAAAATCTCATAATTCAAATTCACTAAATTACTATTATAATATATTTCAGCATCCTGTTGCATTGATGCATCAGTCATCCATGATGATGATGTGTATTACTAGCACATAATATATTGACATATGAGCTGATACAGTGTGGTTGTTTCAGTCCATTAACATTTGCCTGAGAATGGTCTTATAGGGCAGAAACATGTCACAACAGTAAAAAAAGATGTGATTTTAACGACATTTTAGGAAATTTAAATGTGATTGTGATGACACTTTAAAATTAAAGTTCATGTTGCATTAGAGACGGAAACAAGTGGATGAGTGATCACTAAATTAAATAATTTAGTCCGATGAAAAAAGAAAGAGAGATTTTATGTAGAAATAGATGAGAAAGTATATTTGTTTTAGTTGTAATCTTGTGGGTTGTGACATAATGGACTTCTTAAAGTGGGTACCAGTATTTCAGAGGAACCCAGTGCCTATGTCTTCAGGATTCTCTGAAACACTAGTATCCATCTACCACACTACACAGTGTCACAGCTCAGAAGATCACAATCTAAACTCTTTCTTTTCAAATATCATATTTTTATAAGTTTATCACATCTAATTTGCTGCCTGCTTCTGCTGGTTTCTTCTGTGGCTCTTTTTTCAACCCTGAAGACCTCTGAAATGCTGCACTCTTTCCAAACTACCCAGCATTATAAGCCAGAAGACAATATTTTCCACTTTAAATTACATTTTTACAAGTCTTCAGAGAAACAAAAATTTGCTTATCTAATAGACAGTTGAATTAGATAAGTTTTTACATTGAATTCAGTGTGTGTGTGTGTGTGTGTATGCGTGCTTGCACATGTACTTACGGAGGGGTGCAGTGGAGAATATTTGCTGATACAACACCTACACTGTGTGTAGATTGATGTAGTACTTGTAGTACCTTATTCATCATCATAACCAGGGCTCAATAGACCCACTCGTCTGCTCATCAATGAAAAATTAAGTCATATAAGCATAAAAGAAGGTTGAAATTTATTTGTTATTATATTACAGTCAATTATAACAGAAGATGAGTAGTAATTGACTGGACGATGATAATAACCAAACCATATTATTGTGGGAGACATCAGTTTCTTGTAAACTGTCACACATTTTTTACATTTCTCCATCATCTTGTTTTGGTTAAAGAATGTCTCAGCAACTGGCTCTGATTCCGTCACCAAGTAATATCATGAAACCTATTCTCTTGCATTCATTAGATGGAGCTGATCTCTGTTTCCAGACAGGTGCAGTAGCTCCAATATTATAGCTGTTGTTGCTTTCTTGTGATAGAAATTGTCTCAAACTGATGGTCCCAAAAGACTATGTTTCACACTTTTATCTTGTGACAAAAGAAGAGCCAGCATCCAAAAGGTTGTTTTTTCTTAACAAAAATAAGATGACGGAAAATATATGAAATATGTCAGTTTAGCCCTTTCCATGCCACAAGCCAATTAGGGCACCTTGGTGGACTAACTAACTGACTGACTAACTTCATGGAGCTTCTTGAGAAGCTGCCAGTTGTGTAGCTAGTCAAGAACTTCCCATCATTTTATGGAACCCGAAGGTTTATTATCCTCTTCACAAGAGCCCTCCTCTGGTCCCTGTCCTGAGACAGATCAATCCAGTCTCTAGCACCCTATCCTGTCTCTTTGTGATCCATTTTAATATTATCAACCCACCTATGTCTTGGTCTTCCTAGTGGTCTCTTTCCTTGCAGCTTTCTCACCAATATCGCATATGCCTTTCTCTTCTCCCCCATTTGTGCTATATGCCCTGCCCATATCATCCTCTTTGACTTGATCATTCTAATTATATTTGGCAAAGAGTACAAGTTATGAAGCTCCTCATTATGCAGTTTTCTGCAATCCCCTGTCACATCATCCCTCTTCGGTCCAAATATTCTCCTCAGCACCCTGTTCTCAAACACCCTCAGTCTATGTTCCTCCCTTAATGTCAGAGACCAAGTTTCACACCCATACAGAACCATGGGCAAAATTATAGTTTTGTATATTCTCATTTTTTATGCTTTTAGACAGCTCTGATTGAAATTTCCATTGCTTAAGAGATCAGCTTGTTGTAAATCGATTAGCACAGCATTTGTGTCAATAGATGGTGTGAAATGTGATATACCAATGTTTAGAAGAAAGAACAGACTTTCAAATTTCTATATTTGTGGCCATTTAAAGGTCATTTTGGAAAGTGTGGAACTGCTTTTAACCCTAAGCAGCACTGGCATTTCTAATATGTAGTTCTGTGGTGGGGCTTGTTAGTCAAGAAGTTCATCACAAACCTTTAGAATTAAGCAGTTTCTTATTGTTTCAATTTCACTTGCAGGTGAACACATTCTATGATTGTCAAAAAACTGACAATTCAAAACTTGGAAACAGACAGGCACAGCTAATGGCTCGTGGATTGCCAAAGCAGAAGCCAATTACTGGAGTCAAACAGATAATACTTGTGGCTTCGGGAAAGGGTGGTGTTGGAAAATCTACAACTGCAGGTGAATTTGCTTTTTATAGAAATGTTAACATGTTTTACCTCTCTGATCTTCACATTTCTCTCTCCCTGACTACTGGAATTTAAGCTCACACTTGGTGTAGAGGAGCATGCAAGATGTGTGTACGTATGTGGTGGGGTTTAGTGCAAGAATACATAGATCAGGAGATTTTAGGGTGACATTGAAGTGGGTACACCAAAGCGTATGATGAGCCAGATAATTCAGTGATTAAGATGACTGCTTAGTTGTTGGACAAATGGAAATCAATTTCCAGTAGGGGTAAGGACTTTTCTGTTCACCAACACATCCAGGCTAGCTCTGGAATGGAACCAGTCTCTTATCCAGTGAACTGTAGAAGCTCTTTCTGTGGAGGTAAAGTGGCCTAGGAATTTAAAAATAAATTGCTCAAATGTAAACTTTAATAAGTATTCTAGAATGCACCCTTGAAGACGACCTAAAATATTGAACCATGTTGGGTAAACTATAGGATCGTGTCTCTCCTGGGATCTGACTCCATTTAGCTTGGCAGATAGGTAACAAGTCATTTTTTAGACCTGGCCTCTGGTTGCGTGTCAAGAAGTAGTAGGGCAGTGGCTGCAGTTGCACTGTAGGCAGGGGAGATGGTGATGTGCTGTGATTACAGTCCCTGACTAACCCATACAGACTCAGCCAGATCCACTGTGCATTCTGATGACGGGTTTCAAACTTGGGGCTAGTTTTTGTAGGAGCATCTTTAAAAATGGTGGTGAATGTATTTTTGTATGTGAAACTATTTATTCTACCACCATTAATATGGACAAATACTGTAAAGAAAAGGACTTAGAAGTATGTGAAGTTAGGTTACACCTCTCTGCTCATGAAATATGTGTTATTACCATCTATAGAGCTCCTTCTGGTAACTTTCAGCATTTTTTTCAAAACCTTGACGAACTTTTAAATATGATTTTTGCACACACCAAGGATATAATAATATGTGGTGACTTCAACATCAACTATCTCGAAGATTCTCCCCACAAACAGCAGCTAAACTCAATACTAGCCTCTCATGGACTATATAGTATAATCCAATTTCCTACTAGATTCCAAAATGATTCTTATTCCTTAATTGATAATATTTTCATTAATACATACAAATTTACTAATTTTACTGTATGTCTCATCATAAATGGTCTTTCTGATCATGATGCCCAGAACCTAATAATACACAATATATTTAAACAAAAACCTAAAGATAGTTACTACTATATACGGGAAATAAACGATGTTTCAATTACTAATTTTAATAACAAATTAAGTTATGAGTTATGGGAAGACGTAATTAATGAAAAAGATATAAATACTGCCTTTAACCTTTTCCTGAATGTATACTTAACAATATTTCACTCTAGTTTTCCCTTAAAAAAAGTTCATACCCGCTCTGCCAGTAAATCCTGGCTAACGCCTGGAATCAGGATTTCATGTATAAACAAAAAAAAGCTTTATTTAGCTCAAAGAAATAGTGATGATATAAATTTAACTAAGTTTTATAAGAATTACTGTAAAATTTTAACTTCTGTTATCAAACTTGCAAAAAAAAAACATAATAATAATATTATAACTCATTCAAATAATAAAATTGCAACTGTGTGGAATATTGTAAAGAGTACTTCGAAAATAAAACCTAATGTACCCAATATAAGTACTATAAGGGTAAACAGTAATTTATCCTCAGATTCTCAGATTATTGCTGAGGAATTCAATAAATATTTTGTATCAGTTGTTAAAAATAATCGCTCAGCTAATGACACTTCCAACCAAGAAAATCCTATATCTTATCTATCTAGGGCACGTAATCAACCTTTTCCCCCTATTACATTAAATTGTGTATCGTCAAAGGAAATAGAAGATATTATAAAATCCTTGAAAACAAAAAATTCATATGGATATGATGGGATATCCACTAAAATTTTAAAAGTTAGCAGTCCCTATATTTCTTCTCCTCTAACTTATTTATGTAATAGAATGCTAACAACTGGCAATTTTCCACTAAGATTAAAGTTCTCTGAAATAAAGCCCATATATAAAAAAGGTGATAAAAATGACACATCGAACTACAGACCTATTTCACTGCTCACATCAATTTCTAAGATCTTTGAAAAGGTAATCTATAATAGAATGCAACAACATATCAAGAAAAATAATATTCTTGCTAATGAACAGTTTGGATTTAGACATGCACGATCAACAGATGATGCAGCTTACTATCTTATTAATAATATCTTAACTGCTTTAAATAACAAAGAAATTGTGGGCGGTGTTTTTTGTGATCTTCACAAGGCCTTTGATAGTGTCAACTATGATATTCTGCTTTCGAAGTTGAATCATTACGGGATTAAAGGAAGGGCTTATGATGTAATTAGATCCTATTTATCAGATAGATACCAGAGAGTAATAGTTGTTTCTGACTCAATTAAATTCTACTCTAAATGGGAGCCTGTTACCGTAGGAGTCCCTCAAGGATCCATACTTGGTCCCTTGCTTTTCCTTTTATATATCAATGATTTGCCTAATGCCATATCTGATGTATCCTATCCAGTCTTGTTTGCGGATGACACAAGTCTAATAATTAATAATCCTGACACCCCAAGATTTGAAAAAGATATAAATATAGTTTTAGAAAAATTAAATAAATGGTTTAGTAGTAATTTATTACTACTAAATCCTACAAAAACTTACTTTCTACAATTTATAACTAAAAACACAAGAGCTTTAGATTTACATATACTATGTGGGAATAAACAAATAACCAATATGGAGGTTACAAAATTTCTAGGTTTGGTTATTGATCATAAATTGTCATGGCAAACCCATATTGACCAAATGATACCCAAATTAAATAAGGCATCCTATATAATTAGAGTATTAAAACCTCTTTTATCCTTGGAGTGCCTAAAAACTGTTTATTTCTCCCTAGTTCATTCAATAATATCTTACGGCATAATATTTTGGGGGAGTTCGGCTCATGCAAAAATCATATTTCAAATACAGAAAAGAATAATAAGAATTATTACCAATTCGCGTAATATAGATTCGTGCCGTAATTTATTTAAGGAGTTACATATTCTGCCACTTCAGTCTCAATATATATTTTCTTTACTTATGCTGGTTGTCAAGAATAGAGATTGCTATATAACAAACTCTGATGTCCACACACGTAATACCAGATTTAATCATGACTTGCATCTTCCAGTGGTAAACTTAACGATATTTCAGAAAGGTGGATGGTATTCTGGTATCAAACTTTATAACCACCTCCCTCCAGAGCTTAAACAATTATCTTATGACATTCCTGGATTTAAAGTGGCGTTAAAGAAGTTTCTTATCACCAGTTCTTTTTATACTGTTGAAGAATACTACTGCTGGAATAAAGATTGACACCTCATGTATATATTTTAATCATGTATGTAATTTTAAATGTTATTTTGATATATGAATGTATTGTGGTACAGTAGTTTTGTTGTATTGAGTATTTAAATTTTGACGATGATGAATGTCTGATTATGTATGTATATTTATATGTTATATTGTATTATTGACTTGTTCTGTATCTGAGACAGATGCCTCTATGGATTTTTTTGGAACTGTAAATAAATGACATGACATGACATGACATGACATTACATGACATGACATGACATTCTATTGATAACAGCATGGCCTAAAAACAGAGAATGCCAATATTCTTCCTAATTACTGGGTTTCTGGATGTTGCCCATCATCTGGTATTCTAGGATGTCTAGAAATTCTAGTTTCTAGAATACATCATCATCAGAATCCTTTAGAATCTGCCAATATTCTTTTCTATGGAGGCAGAGGGTTCCTTGAAAACACTGGTACCTATCTATCAAACTACATGGCTCATATCCCAGAAGACCATAAGCTTGATGGTCATGGCTGTAAGAACCTCAGATTTGAAACTGTTATATATTTGTTCTAATGGTTTAATACATCAGTTGATATGAGGGTTGCAACTTTAATAGTGGCAACACTGCTGTAGAGACGCTATGCAATGGAACCAAATAGTGTCGCTTATACCACACGTTAGTTACATACCTACCTTACCTCAGAGCAAATGGACTCTCCCTTCCCACATCACGGACATTCACAGTGAGGAGAAGAACAGAGCCTCGTGTTAACTGGCGGTCTAATGTAGTGTTGTCACGATGTTTTCAAAACAGGAACAATGGAGTTGGATAAAGATTAAATGTGCCAGAGGCTGTATAGCACGACAGTGTCATCAAGGTCTTCAAGAGGCTTGCGGGGAATCTGCATTGCCTTACAGAATGGTGGCAAGTTGGGTAAAAGCCTTCAACAAGGAACTCCAAAACGTGGCAGACATGCATCGGCCAGGTGGCCCTAGCGTCAGTGAAGAAGAAGTGTATGATCTTTCTGCGTTACTGGAGAGTGATTGACACCATATGATTCGTGAGCTGGCCCGAGAGACAGGATTAGCACATACGACTGTGCTTCACATTCTGAAGGAACGCCTGGGCATGAGAAAAATTGCATCACAATTGGGTTCTGCATGATTTGACGGAAATGCAGAAATGGCAAGCTGTGGCTGATTTGTTCGATTGATGGGGCTGGGAAGTGATGTACCATCCACCATACTCCCCGGAATTAAGCCCTTGTGACTTTGACTTGATTCCTAAGATGAAGGAACCACTTTGTGGCATTCGCTTCAGAACTGTTCCAGAGATTCTTCAGGCAGTAGACTGCTCCATTCGAACTATCAACATAACAGGCGCTGCTAAAGGTATCCTATGACTTCCACATCACTGGCAATGGGTTGTACACAATGCTGATGACTACATTGAAGGATATTGAAACTTCAAAATATGCATCTATTTTGTGTCAGTTGTAAATAAATAGTTGCCACCATTAAAGTTCCAACCCTCATACATATACGTGAATTATGTTCATGTAACCATTTGATTTAAGAGTAATCTTATATATAGAAATATGTGTCACATAAAGTTAGGATCTGTACTTTTGATTATAATCTTTTATATAAGAGGGCCTCATTGTGTGCTGATAATGCTCCCTCAGAGATGTTTCAGACAAAGAATACATTTCTACTCTTCAGGTAAGTTTCAAAGATGAAATTTTTGGGATGCTTATTTAATTACTTTTTTTTTTGTACCAATTAAACATGCAGATCACTTCAATGGTTTGTTAAAATATTGTTAATTTGTACTTTTTTTAGATTCAAGTTTATAAAATTGAACTTGATGTACCTTATGATAGCATTGTTCCTTTTTTCTTTGTGCTAGTCAATCTCTCAGCAGCACTGAAATCTGTTGAACCAAACAAGATTGTGGGCCTGCTTGATACAGATGTGTATGGTCCTTCTGTTCCGCTTATGATGAACCTCCATGAAACTCCTCTGCTGACCAGAGGTACAGTGATTTCAGTGTTTACATTTATGAGACTCAGAAATTTGTTTTTGTCTATACCCAAGCAGAAGGGGAAAGGAAATTTATAAATGATATTTCTCAATTTTAACATAAAAATAAATTGTAATGATTTTCTGCCTTGCTTTGAAAATTAAATTTAATGGACAGTTAGCAGGAAGAACATTTTATTATACAGTTTTCAGTAATTTCTTAGTGTATTTAAATTTGCTCCAAGTCGTGATTACTGATACAGGCACATAAAATTTGACATTTATACTGATGTCTATGTCTTAATTCCCTGCTGGCACATTCTGGGATATTGCCCTCCTTCCATCATCTTCTTTAAATGTTTCTGAAGATTTTTTTAACAACTAAGCCTCTCCATCTGTCTGTCTTCCCATAGCCCCTTTTCTTCAGTCTCCTCCTATATTCTTTCTTCCTTCTACATGACATATTTCCTAGTCTGTTATTTCCTTCTTGATCATGACCTTTCTTATGGGTGCCTTCCTTTTATTTTCATGTTCAAACCCTTCTTTTGGATTGTCTCTTCATTCATTCTTGAAACAAGTTCATATGATCTTATTCTGGTACTTTCTAATTCATCTTCTAATATTTAAATTCATTTTTCTCTCCTGCCCATTCTTTATTCCCTTTCACCTGATCTCCTCTTCTGTACTTGTTAGAAATCTCATCTTGGTTGCTGTTTATCTGCCAATATCTGCCTTTGTCTGTGTCTGGATTTGTGCTTCATGCATTAAAGTGAGCATCTAGTAATTTTTAAATAAACACATTTTTCCTGTCTGTAGCTTTTCTCATATCCAAAATATATCTTAATTTATTTGTAAAATTTCTCTCCATTTCTTATTATTCTTTCTATGATTTCTTCTTATATCCTTCCATACTGTCATGATTTAGGGGCAAGGATGACTGTAGGGGTAAGGATTGGATGTATTGGATTTATTTAGCACTTACATACACCACTTGGAACTACACTTTACAGATCACTGACACACACAGGCTAGTGTCCTCAGTCTATTACAGTCTGCACCAGCCGTTTCCTGACAACAAATTTAACAGTGCAGATTCTTCAGCTTCCTGCACTGAGGTCCTCTTGCCCATGCAGATCTTTTTCCAACTGCCAGCTATTTCACACCAACCTCCTAGTCTGCTCTTCCCAGGCTGACTTCCAACTGACAACTGAACTCTCCCACTCACCAACCAGCTACTTCATGTCACTTCACTCAATTGAACTGCTGACAACTCCAACCAACAACTGTTTTGTTGCTTCAAACTGTCCTGCTTATAACATATAGAAAAAACTATTCTTCTCTTGTTGTGTTGGTGTCATTGCTGTGGAAATGTGTTTACTGAACTGGTGGGGCAGTGTTCAAGCAGAGGAAAGCTTGTCACTGTGAAGCACAACGGGAGCCTAGTCTGAGGCACCTTTCAGGTAGCTGATGAGGTCTGACAAGAATCCTGAAAATAAACAGTTAATATGGCTACTGACAGTTCTAGCCAGATGATAGTGATTTCTGAAACTTCTTTCAGTAATTAACGTTTCTTCTATGTCCACCCAAATTCACCATTCACCTCTCACTTCATTCCACAGAAACAGTGACTGAGTCGGTGGTGTAGTGGTAACACTGTAGATCTGTATTTGGGAGGTGCTTGGTTTGAATTCCAGCTGGGCACTGGCTATCCTGAGTAAGACTGAGGTTTTATTCAGTGCATCCAGGCAAATGCTATAATAGTACCCTGATTAGGCTATGAGCACTTCCTTCCACATCATTTCTGGTTCATTATTCACAAGTCATCCTCCATTCAACATTAAGTAGTGTGTGATACTGATGGGATCATAAAATTAACCACAAAAGAAAAACATGTACCTTGTGCTGTTGATTAAATGTTATTAAATAAACAAAGAAACAAACCTGGTCTGTGTTTTTAATGTATTGCTGTGTCTTCATAATCTGTTTCTGAATGCATATTGCATCAGGAGATTGTGGAAATATGAAAACCATGACTGTAGTGATAGGCACCCATTGCAGTCAAGTAAAGAAATTAAATGGATTCGTAATATAGAGTCCTTTCTACAACACAAAAAACAATTTGTTTCAAAATTGCATACCGTAACCCCTTACAGATTTGCTTCCAAAATGTATGACCACACTGAGCAATTCTGCTCAGCCAGGAAACTTTTGGACTTGTATTTAAGAGAAACCAAGTTTGAATCTAGGCCAGGACACTTGAATATTGTGACTGTCATTTTTCTCAGTCTTTTCAAATAATTGACAAGTTAGTACCTTAATTAGGTGACAACTCCTTTCCAAATTGTAATTCATTATTTGTCCGTCTAACACAGTCTGATATACTGACAGCATCAGTAAATAAACCATGAATAAATATGTAACATTTAGTTCCATGGGCTAGACTGCAAAGGACACTATATCTACACCCCTTACATGTTTGCATGATGCTAGGCAAGCGTGTAGCTTTACCTGATTATGTGATTACCCTTAAACTGAATTATTATTACTACTACGAGTACCACTACTACTACTGCTACTACTACTGAATGTTCCTTGTATTGTAAATTCTATCACAGCTAAAATTAGATTGGTAAGAAAGATTATTCTAGATTCTAAATGGTGCTGATCATTGTATGTTGCACTTAGGATTTTTTTGGGGCACGCGGTAGCGTAGTGGTTGAGGAGGTATGCTGCAAGCCAGAAGGTCGTGGGTTCAAGTCCTGATGAGGTCATTGGATTTTTTCAGTTGACCTAATCCTTCCAGCCACACTGGGCCCTGGGGTTTACTCAGCCTAGAAATGAGTACCAGGAGTTAATTAAATAATTTTCCTGGGGATTAAAGCGCGGCCAGGCCGTAGGGCTGACAACCTTACCGCCATATTTGAGCCGATTGTCTAGGCAATGTGGGACCCTCAACGTCTCACAACCCTATGGGCCTTCACGGCCTGGTATGGGGATAGCTTTACTTTACTTAGGATTTTTTATGGAGCAAGGTCTTCATCTTTGCATGAAGCCCCCAACCTGGAGGACCAAGTCACTCTCATTTATGTCCCTCAGTGACAAGGTGGCCAAGTTATACCCCCAGACACTGGGTTCTTTTTTCATTGCTTTCTACAACTTGCAGGGCTACGTGGTGTGTTCAAAAAGTATCGAACCTTCTTTTTTCCCACGTAAACCAATGAAGCGCTGGAGGCTCCCTTCAGTGGAGATGTGGAGGGGACATTCATGCGCAGTTGTGAATTTTTTCCCGCCCGCAGAAAACGTCAGTCACTGGCAGTCAGCCTATGATTGAGGACGTGTAGTGAGCGCTCGTTGGATTCCAGTAAGGTGTAAAATGACAGAACAACATGAGCAGCGATATTGCATCAAATTTTGCCAAAAGCTTGGTGATACCCAAGTGGAAACCATTCGCAAGATTCAACAGGCTTTTGGGGATGATGCCATGAGCAACTCACGTATAAAGGAGTGGTACAACCGCTTCAAAGATGGCTGCACATCAGTGGACAGCGAACCACGTTCAGGCAGACCCTCAACAAGCCGAAATGAGAATGTCATTGAGCAAGTGCGGACTTTGGTCATGGAGGACCGTCGTATCACAGTCTGAGAACTTTCGAACGAGATAGCGGTAAGCATTGGATCGGTACATTCAATTTTGACCGAGGATTTGGGCATGAGGAGAGTGTCCGCAAAATTTGTACTGAAACTGCTAACAATGGAGCAGAAGCACAGGACATGCTGGACAATGCAAACAGTAACCCCAACTTTCTGAACACCGTGATCACAGGCGATGAGTCGTGGGCTTATGGGTATGACCCGGAAACCCAGATTCAGTCATCACAGTGGAAACATCCGACATCCCTGAGGCCAAGAAAAGCACGGCAGGTCCGCAGTAATGTCAAGGTCATGTTGGCCGTTTTCTTTGACTCCTGTGGGGTTGTACATCATGAGTACGCACCACAAGGCCAAACCATCACAAAGGAATACTACCAGGATGTCCTTTGTCGCCTTCATGATGCTGTGCAGCGCAAACTACCAGATCTGTGGGCAGCAAAAACTTGGCAGCTCCATCATGATAACGCACCCGCCCATTCTGCACATCTGATTCAGACTTTCGTCGCCAAACACAACATCCCTGTGGTTCATCAGGCTCCCTACTCCCCAAACCTGGCTCCGAGTGACTTTTGGCTATTTCCCAAGCTGAAAATGCAGCTGAAAGGAACTTGATTTGAGTCAAGAGAAGACATCATGCGGAATGCAACGGCCCGGCTGATCACCATTCCAAAAGATGCGTTCCAGAAGTGTTTCCAACAATGGCAGAAACGCTGGGAGAAGTGTGTGAATTACCAAGGAGACTACTTTGAAGGGGATTAGGGTTTTGTACTTCCAAATCAATAAATGTATTTCTGCCGACCAAAGGTTCGATATTTTTTGAACACACCACGTATGGTGGGTGGACCTATTGCTTTGCACAGAATAATTATTTTTGTTTATCTGTTGTGGTATCCAGATTTAATGTGGACCTGATCTTTTTTATATAGAATTCTTAAACCAGCCCTGGCCTTGAAATCCTTTAGGACTCTCTCTGTGATCTAGCAAGGTTACTAGCATTTTAGAGGAATCTGCTGTCTTTATTGCTCTGAAGGTGCAAGCAGGAGGCTGCTGTGAAGCACTGGTAATGATCTTCAAAATACAAGGTGTCAGCCCTAGAAAGCAGTAAATTTATTTGTTATACTAATTGCAAAAGACTGTGAATTATGTTGATAATTTTTGTCCTGAAATACTCCTGATATAATTGAAGCTTCTATGAACTAAATGTTTAGCAAGCATATGTAAGGAAATACACATTCTCTACAAATATTATATTTCTGGACATTATCCATCATCCAGATATAGGATCTAGCACTATCGATTGGGCACAAACGAGTAGGTTTTTTTTGAAGACAGAGACCAAATCCAGTCTCTGAAACGTTGTTTTGAAATATACATATATATGCCTCATAAACAGGAAGATGGATAATGTCCAGAAACATAATATTTGTACTGATGTACCATCATCACAAACTTTTAGATTTTATTTATACATTCTCTATTTCTCTTTTACATATTTAAGAAAATGCAATTTAGAATTTTAATTCACTTTCAGATAACATGATGATTCCTTTAGTTAATTATGGATTGCAATGGTAAGTTGATTCCTATATTACAGAAGCTTAATTTAATATATAATTCATTGCATGATATGGTCACAGCCCAGAATGGAATGCCATAAATTGTTATTAAGTTCCTAGAATAAACAGAAAGTCAGAAAAAGACTGGAAAGATACATGCATACCCTTGCATTCTCATGTCACATTTCTAAAAAATACAAATATAATTCATGTACAATATCTGCATGCGCTACTGCTTTCTGGGACAAGGTTCTGTGTAGTCAGGTAGAACATACTACCTCCATCTTCAGGGTCAAAGAGTAAGCCAGGCAAGAAGCAGGCAACAAGCAAAGCAAGCCAGTTCCTCCAAAACATTGATGAAATTATAACAGTTTTTATGGTGTCATTTCCCACATCATAGTACTTGTAATTACATGCAGGAGAACATGAACCCCAGCAACAGTTATATAATTTGTCAAATTCTTTTCCCTTTTTTATAGAATACTAGATCATAAATGGAAAACAAATTACATATGTCACAGTTCACATTCTTACTCATCTTACTGTAATGAAGCTCAATTTCAACATGATAATAAGGAATTAATATGCATATTTGTACGAGTACTATTCAGAAAGTAACCTCCAATGAGCTGTTAACAAAACAAGCAATTAGAAAACATTACTATTATAAAAAAAATACGTACATACTTAAGCTATTTCTCACCATAGTCAGTGCCAGAATTCAAGTGCTTGTTGTATTGGGGAATAAGTTTTTGTATGCTTGTATCAAAGAAGTTTGCTGCCTGTGAGTGCAGCCATGTTTTGACACCTTTCATCAACTCCTTATGATCATTGAAGTATTGTGATCCAAACCAGTTCTTCAGGTAGGCAAACAGGCGGTAGTCCCTCGGAGTAATATCAGGGCTGTAAGGAGGTTGGTCAAACAACTCCGAGTTGAAATGCTTCATCAGTGCTCATGTGCAACCAGCTGTATGCAGACACACATTGACATGGAGGAGCACTACACTGGGTGTCACCATTCCATTCCTTTCATTCTGAATTGCCCTATGCAATTTTTTTAGTGCTTTGCAATACAAAACGTGGCTGAACTCACAGGTGACAGACTTCTTTGACACAGGCTAACAAAAACTTATACCCTGATACAACAAGCACCTCAGTTCTGGCAGTGACTATGTTGAGAAGTAGGTGTGTATTTTTGTATATAATAATTTTTCTCATTGTTTGTTTTGTTAAGAGCTCACTCGAGGTTACTTTCTAAATAACCCTCATAAAAGTCTAAGACATTCTGTTTTGTCATTATGTATGTTTGGTAGCAGTTATGAATGGAAGCAGAGGTTGGCAAAGATACTTGCTATTCATTGCTGTTCTATCAGTTTGTATGTTACTTGTGAGTTGGTAAAATAAATTAGCAGAGTTGGTAGTACTTACTAATAAGAACAGAACATGGCAGTGATGAACACTGCTGAAAAGTATGCTTGTTATCATTGTTACTGCAATTACTATAACATCTTAGTATACATCTGGGCCACAGAATTTTATGTTTGCTATTAAAGTGGATTACAAGCTGTTTTATTCAGGTTAGGTACTTTTGATTAAGTGTATTTTCAAATTGAAAAACTGAAGACTAAAAATTATGTTTTCATTATATTTACAAATATAAGCTTACTTCACATTGTATTATATTTCAACAGATAGTGTAGCAGATTTTAATTACTGTGTTTGGCAAAGTTTTACTGTAAGCCAGATGTAAATATTGCATGTTAAAGGTTAAATAATACATTTCTGTGAACTGTAGCATTTGGCAGTTATTCAGATGAATAAATTGCACATTAATAAATTATTCATATTGTCATAATTCTCGTTCTCAGAATTTGGTTCTGTTCCAATATGAGATGAAATCCTATCATCTTCTCCCCAAAAGAATGTAGGAAACCTCCTCCATATTTTTCATGATAGTGTTCTTCACTCCCCTTTCAGGGCACCCATCTGCACGAGCATTTCTTTCTTTCATCAGCCCCTTATGGCACTGCCTCAATGCAATGATAACTTTCCAAGTTAATCTGTACTTCCTACTGCACCTTCTCCCATCTTCCAACCCCTTTTCAGGGGCAATGCTAGGTACTGTTTTCTTGCTACTGTTGGTTCTCTCTGGGATTCCTTTACAGGTTTACACCAGAACAAAATCCTACATGCTTCTCACTCTGTTTGCTAGTTGGTTCTCTAGCTTACTCTTTCACCCTGAAGATGGAGGCTGTATGTTCCTTCGAAATGTCAGTGAACATCTGATGAACCATATGGCATCATAACCCTTCATATTCAATACTGTGAGGACATCAGATCACTGATGTTATATTTATTTTCAGTATGTCAATGGGCTTCCTTGTTGATGACAGATCACCTGTTATATGGAGGGGCCTTATGGTGATGAGTGCACTGGAGAAACTCCTGCGGCAGGTGGCATGGGATGCAGTGGACTATCTTGTAGTGGACACACCACCTGGGACAGGAGACACTCACTTGTCTCTAATACAGAATTTGCCGTTGGAAGGTATACAGAACAGTATTGATGGGATTATAAATGCTGCCTGTGGGTTATTTGTGAATGAAACATGCAAACTTGTCCAAGACCATAAGTCTTGACATTTTGTTTTCATTTTCCTTATTTCTTTTTGGTAAACAGCGGCATGAAGTTAGCATACAGTGACTGTAGAAACTATGTTAAATTACGATCAGAAAAAGAACCAGCAGACTGATCTAGCAGTAATGCTTTAGATTGAAGTCAGGGGGCACTCAGTGTGAATCTTGATTGGGATACTTGCTGTCCTGACTGAGATTTTTCATCGTTTATCTCAATCCTTCCAGGCAAATGGTGGGACAGTACCTTGATTAGGACATGATCACTTCCTTCCAAATGCTCTCCAATTCGTTATTCATCAGTCATCCTACTGTTCTATGCTATGAAGGCCAGATACTGAAAACATGACAAAATTCCCATATAAAGGAAACAGGAAAATCATGATGGTTAAGAACAACTGATGGAGTGAGATAAAGAAGTGTCCTTTCATCAGTCATGTTTAATGCCATGACAGATTAAGCTGCCCGTAAAGTCAGAGGCAAGAATAAATGAGCAGATATGAAAATACTAGTATTTGCAGACAGTGTATTAATTTGGGGAAAGATGGAAAGGAAATTGAGAACAAATCAAGGGATCCTTATTATAATTCAATATGGACTGGAAATGAATATGGAGAAGGCAATGACTTCTGAGGATCTGAGACAAACATCATATAAAAGTTCATGACAGCGGCTACACAGATTAACAGATTTATTTATTTGGGAAGGGAATCAAATTGAAAAGAGACAATCAATGGAGAGATTAACAGTATACAAAACAGCTCTAAATTTTATCAAAGTATAAGAGGAATATTATGGAACATGGAGATCCCAGAATCATATAAAGCAATGGCATATAAAATAAATTTCAACATTTATTGTGTTTTGGAACAATTAACCGTGCAATTGCCAGTAGTCACTCAAGCTATTGATGTCAGCTTGTCTAGTCCACCACTTTTTCACTGTATGCCACTGCACTGTCTTCTCCTTTATGTTGCTGCTGTTGTCTCACTGTACACGCTGTTTCGTTTCTGTACCCATGGTTGCACTCTGTGTGCCTCTGGCTCACAGTGAGATAAGACAAGCCTCAACTCTCTGCTAGACCTCACAACCACAGTATTATCTGGGCAAAGCCCCTGTCAAAACTTCTGACTGGCAGCATGGGCCAGGCAGTTTGGGAACAAGCTACAAGCATACACTCCTTCCCCATGCCCAGGTCACAACAATACTTTAAACTAGTACTGGAACATGAACCCTTACAAAAAGAAACAAAAGCAAATTCCAAGCAATGGGTGTGATGTAAGATTTGAGGTATTCACAGTGGTGACTATGAAGAAAGCAGAACTGGAGTTTAAGATTTATTAACAGAACATTGATACTGAGAAGAGGTAAAAGTAATAAATAATTAAGAACTATGCCAGGAAGGTGTATGGATGAGTGGATGTACAGATCCACATTTTCTTGAACTTGGAACTTGTTGGAGGTGTTAGCTTCACGCTCCTGCTGCTTTACCTCCAGCATCTGTGCCTCATGGGACTTTATCTACCACTGTGACTGGCTTGACCCAGTCTCCAACATGTTCCACATAGGTGGTGTTTTCAAAAAGTATCGAACCTTTGGTTGGCAGAAATACATTTATTGATTTGGAGGTACAAAACCCTAATCCCCTTCAAAGTAGTCTCCTTGGTAATACACACACTTCTCCCAGCGCTTCTGCCATTGTTGGAAACACTTCTGGAACACGTCTTTTGGAATGGTGATCAGCCGGGCTGTCGTAATCCGCATGATGTCTTCTCTTGACTCAAATCAAGTTCCTTTCAGCGACATTTTCAGCTTGGGAAATAGCCAAAAGTCACACGGAGCCATGCTGGGGGAGTAGGGAGCCTGACGAACCACAGGGATGTTGTGTTTGGCAATGAAACTCTGAATCAGATGTGCAGAATGGGCGGGTGCGTTTTCATGATGGAGCTGCCAAGTTTTTGCTGCCCACAGATCTGGTAGTTTGCGCTGCACAGCATCATGAAGGCGACAAAGGACATCCTGGTAGTATTCCTTTGTGATGGTTTGGCCTTGTGGTGCGTACTCATGATGTACAACCCCACAGGAGTCAAAGAAAACGGCCAACATGATCTTGACATTACTGTGGACCTGCCGTGCTTTTCTTGGCCTTGGGGATGTCGGATGTTTCCACTGTGATGACTGAATCTGGGTTTCTGGGTCGTACCCATAAACCAATGACTCATCGCCTGTGATCACGGTGTTCAGAAAGTTGGGGTTACTGTTTGCATTGTCCAGCATGTCCTGTGCTTCTGCTCCATTGTTAGCAGTTTCAGTACGAATTTCACGGACACTCTCCTCGTGCCCAAATCCTCGGTCAAAATTGAATGTACCGATCCAATGCTTACCTCTATCTCATTTGCAAGTTCTCAGACTGTGATACGATGGTCCTCCATGACCAAAGTCCGCACTTGCTCACTGACATTCTCATTTTGGCTTGTTGAGGGTCTGCCTGAACGCGGTTCGCGGTCCACTGATGTGCAGCCATCTTTGAAGCGGTTGTACCACTCCTTTATACATGAGTTGCTCATGGCATCGTCCCTGAAAGCCTGTTGAATCTTGCGAATGGTTTCCACTTGGGTATCACCAAGCTTTTGGCAAAATTTGATGCAATATCGCTGCTCATGTTGTTTCCCTCATTTTACACCTTACTGGAATCCGACGAGCGCTCACTACACGTCCTCACTCATAAGCTGACTGCCAGCGACTGACGCTTTCTGCGGGCGGGAAAGAATTCACGACTGCGCATGAATGTCGCCTCCACATCTCCACCGAAGGGAGCCTCCCGCGCTTCGTTGGTTTACGTGGGAAAAAAGAAGGTTCGATACTTTTTGAACACACCATGTACAGTATACAAAAGTAAATGACAAATGGGAATACCTGTATTTTACTAGACAGCCAAGCAACATTCAAAGTACTTGACAGTTCAGATGAGATCATCTCTACATCTGGGACTGTGGCATTCCTTTGTGGTACAGGGGTAAGGCGAAAGGTAAAATTGTCCGTTTGCTAAATAAATTAACCACCATGCCATGAGGATGTTTGGTGGAGGGAACTCATAGCTCCAGTGTTCTCCACCTCAGCCCTGGATATAGACTAGTGATTAGCTTCATGCCCCAGCCACTTTACCCCCAAGGAAACAGTCCCTAGTACGCTTTGGATAGGCTGCAGAGCCAAACTGGATGGTGTTTAGTACAGAAAAATCTTGCCCCTACCTGGAATTGAATCCTAGTCATTCAGCCCTTAACTTGTCTTTATGCCAACTGAGCTATCAACAAGTTTATTTAATTGACTTAATTCTGTTTTCCAGTTTGAGTTATTTTATCTTCACTGTCATTGAAATTTTCTTACTGGTCCATATTGCAGCCTATTTTATTAAGATTTCTTAACACAATCTTTGCTACTTTATTGCATTTCTTACCAAATGTTAGATAAATTTATAGTCTGGAACACGTCTACTAATTAATTTTATATTGGGTTCAATAAACAGTTACCTGCCCTGATATTTATCTGGACACATCACTACTGTTGTAATTATGAAATGACAGTAACCTGTTTGTTCCTCAACAGGTGTAGTACTGGTAACGACACCACAAGCTGCAGCAGTTGAGGTAACCAGAAGAGGTGCAGTCATGTTTCAGAGGCTTAAAGTGCCCATTATAGGAGTTGTTCAGAACATGAATACAGTTGTGTGTCCAAAATGTCACCATTCTCTTTCCTTGTATGGCCATGGTACTGAAGCCTTAACTTCTGAATTAGGTAATGATAACATTTTAATGTTTGTTTGGAGCATTATGGTGAATACTTTTTCAAGGTAGTGTAATTTGTCTAAAAAGAACATAAAGATTTATTGTTTTCAGCTGTCATGGATAAGATTCTGCATGACCGGTTCCAATTCAGAATTAATTGAATGTCACAGTTGAATGGTTAACATTCCTTCTCCATATCTGGGAGGTACTGGACTCAAATCTTGAGCCACAGACTGGCAAACATGGTTGAGGTTTTTCAAGGTATCCCACAGTCTCTGGGCAAATACCGGGATCATATGCCAAATTAGACAGCAACCAGTTCCTTTCATATCCTTTCCAATTCATTATTCACTAAGCATCATACCAATCTCTATATAGTGTGAGCTACTGAAGCATCATTATTCATTCATTCATTCATATTCCTGCAGTTCCCTCTGGAGCATACGGCATCCTTGAAATGCTTTGTTTCTTTTCAGTTCTTAATCTTGTAGACAGTTGGCAGGACTCCTCTGATGGGGGATCAGCCCAACACAAGGCTGCTACCTGCATAGGACAACACAAACACAGAATAAACATAGACAAACATCCATGCCTTGAGTGGGATTCAAACCCATGATCCCAGTGTTCAAGCAGGTGAAGAAAGTTCATGTCTTAGACTGTGTGGCCGCTGTGATCAGCAAAGGGTTATTAATTAAACCATAAATGAATAAAATAAAAAGTTCAGAATTAATTATCTAACTGTGCAATACAACACAAAGAAATATATACATATGCCACAAGTGGGATTTTAACCTTTATAGTCCCAGAATTGGCTGACCTATAATTTAAGATAACATTTATATCTTAATAATTTAATTATGAAATGATGTCACTGTTGATTTTCTTTGTGTCGGGTTTACATATCACTTAACAGCCATATCAGATGAGAAGAAACTTTTTATTATAATACAAAACAAAAACAAATGAATATAGATCACCATTACCAACATGAACATTTATACATTACTAGATTTTCAACATTCCTTCTTAATTTCAAAATGTTACAAACACATTTCTCATTTTCCTCCTTAATTTCAAAATGTTATCAACATTATTAGCTGTTTTACAAAGTTAAATTGAATAACACTTAGTAATTTTGGTCTTCAGATTACAAAATTAGTACATGTAATTAAAATTTTCTGTCTTATCAAAATAGACTTATTTCTTCTTAAGTATAATGTCTCTAAACTTGGTAAATTTCTCTGGTGATAGCAGTTTTGTTAAAATGTCTGACACCTTAGTTTCAGTGTTACAATATTTGATTGAGAACAGTTTCTCCTTCAATTGTTCACTTATGTAGTGATACCTAACGTCTATATGCTTACTCCTACGTGCTACTTGTCTAGATTCCATTAGCTTGATTGCACTCTGATTGTTGCCACACAGTTCAGCTTCCACCCTTTTTCCTGTCAACTCCCTTATCAGTGTCTTTAGATATTTCAATTCTATACAGCAATATATTCGGCCTCAGTGGTCGATAATGCAACAATACTCTGTTTCCTAGAGCACCATGATATTGGGCCCCCTGACTTCATAATTACATATCCCGTTACACTCTTCCTATCCTTTACATTCCCTGCACAATCAGCATCACTAAATGCTTCCAGTTTCACAGTTTCGGAGTCAGATGAGGTATATTTTATTCCTGAATCTCGTGTACCTTTCACATACTTAAGGGTCCTTTTCACATTCTGAACAGCTATTTTGTCAGGATTTTCCAAGGTTTGACTTTCCACATTTACAGTGAATGCCATATATACACGTGGCAGGCTTCACACAGCTTCTCTGTAAGGAAATCTTATGTCATTTTCTCCTTCGTCATTTGTTGGTGGGGTCCTGGCCATGGGTGTTTTCATTTCTTGACTCTCTTGCATGTTGTATTTTTCCAACATTTGGCTTGCATAGTTGGTTTGAGAGATATGTATGCCATCTGGTTGCCTCTCAATTTGAGAGACATGAGACAGGTGTCTGCAAAATTTGTTCCTCGCTTGCTCAGAGATGACCAAAGAGAAAACCGCGTGAATGTTTGCCGCGACTTGAAGACTGAAGTGCAGAACGATCCAGAATTTCTTAAAAGAATTGTGACTGGCGATGAGTCTTCGTGCTATGGGTACGATCCAGAATCAAAGCAATCATCAAGCCAGTGGAAAACTCCAACTTCACCACGACCGAAGAAAGCACGTCAAGTGCGATCCAATGTGAAAACAATGTTGATTTGTTTTTTTGATGTGAATGGCATTGTCCACAAAGAGTTTGTTCCGCCAGGACAAACAGTGAACCAACATTTTTACCTGGATGTGTTACGAAGATTATGAGAGAGTGTGCGACGAAAACGGTCCGAAATGTGGAGAAATGGGAACTGGTTGCTTCACCATGACAATGCTCCAGCCCACACAGCTTTGATGGTCCGACAGTTTTTGACAAGCAACAACATGGTGATTGTGCCTCATCCACCTTACTCACCCGACCTGGCTCCGTCGGACTTTTTTTTGTTTCCACGGATGAAGAGAAGTCTGAAAGGAAAGCGATTCCGTGATGTGGATGAAGTCAAAGAAAACACGCTAAAGGCTTTGAACAGTATCCAGCCTCAAGAATTCCAGCACTGTTTTGAGCAGTGGCAAAAGCGTTGGGACAAGTGCATTAATGCACATGGACAATACTTTGAAGGGGACTAATATACAGTTCAATAAAAATGCAAAAATAAAAAATAACAAAAATAAATTCCGGTTAATTTTGGGTCCCCCCTCGTATAATCATCCACACACGTAAGGAAATATTTCTTATTGTCATAAGTGGTGGGATCAAGTGGTCCACACACGTTACTATGAATTATCTCTAATGGCTTTCCAGCCCTACTTCTTTCTGTATCAAAAGGGAGTCTCACTTGTTTGGCCTGCATACAAACTGAACATATATCAAAATTTTTACACTTGCTCACACTTTCTGGTATCCCTTGGCATATCTCCTGTAGTTTCCTAAGATTCGCATAACTTATGTGACGTAGCTTTCTATGCCTCTCTACACTTATCTCTTGCTGAGTCATCATAGCTTCATTCCTCACGCTAAAGTTAATTACAAACAGTCCATTTTCATCCTTTTTTCCTTTGATTACAACATTTTTGTCCTTGAGTATCTGGACTCTCTCCTTTGTAAACAACACTTCTCCATCATTTTCTGTACTACAGTGCACTGACAGCAGGTTTTTGCTGAGTTCTGGAACATATGAAACGTTTTTCAAACCACACTCTTTAAATTCCAGATTGCCTATTTCTTTTGCACTCATACTTTGATTTTTCTTTGCTATCTTTAAACATTTAGTATACTGCTTAGTATGTATTAAATCAGTCTTCACATTTGTCATATGACATGTGCTACCACTATCCACTACATACATTTTGTCATTTTTACTTGCATCACTCACGTGGGTTTCTGCTGCTTCAGCTAGAAAATTGACCTTGCTTCTTTTATTCCTATCTTTAAAATAACAGTCTTTTTCAGCATGGTTCGTTTTCTTACATATTGTACATTGTTTTCTCGTATGACTGTCCTTATTTCTAAAGTAACAGTCCTTTTCAGAGTGATTATTCCCTTTACAGATAGAGCAATTTCTCTTACCTTTGTTGGGGCAGTTGATCTGGGCATTTCCTATTTCATTACAATCGAAACAATATATATGAGACAAACTCCGTCTTAAGTGCAACAATTTAATTGTAGTTCTTTCTTCTACAATTAAATTGTTTCACTTAAGACGGAGTTTGTCTCATATATATTGTGTGAGTGTAACAGGATGCTTAAATATAATATTACAATTGAAACACTTGAAAGGGGTTTTACTTTTGGGTTTAGTTACTGTCTTAAAAGTTATGCTTTTCTCTTCTTTAGTCATCATCTTGCACTTCACTTCTTCCAACATCAATCTGGCCACCAGGTTGTCAAGGGTTCTGTCCACGGTTGCCGTTGAGTCCCAGGCGGTGCTGAAGTGTTTCTAGTCTTCTGGTAGAATCGTTATTTTTGTCATGATCATGTTTTCATCAACGTTTTGGTTCACTTCACGAAGCTTGAAGGCAATGTTCTGCACATGGCTTATATTCGTCATCATATCCTTAGTTTTGTCATACTTGAAGTTGTAGAAGTCTTGTAGCAGAAGGCACTTCTGTTGAGAGGTGTCTCGCTGATAAATTTGCTTCAAGGTGTCATACATTTCTTTCCCGGTTGTGCATGTCATAATGTGGATCTTCACATGTTTCACTATCGTTCTCACTATGTAATATTAGCACTTTGCATCTCACATCTTCCATTTCCTTATATTTTCTTCGTCTCTTCCTTGGTCACTTAACAGGTTGCTGCCATCAACGATGTTTATCAGTTCTTTTGCACACATCAGAATCTTGATTTCAAAATCCCACAATGGAAATGAGTCGGCATCCTTCAGTTTTGGCAGATGCGTTATCTCTTCTGTCTCTGTGGTTGCCATTTTTTCGTTATTCTTCTTCTGTCTTCTCCTTTTTTTTCTTTCCTATTTTTTTAGTTTTCAAGCAAATCTGGGCCCATAACCTGTTTATTTTCTTTGTGTCATGCTTATGTATCACTTAACAGCCATACTGAATGAAAAAAAAACTTTTTATTATAATACAAAACAAAAACAAATTAATATAGATCACTATTACCAACATGAACATTTTTACATTACTAGATTTTCAACAGTCACATCCAGTTTTGGAGAACATGTTACACTGTACTGTGTACAGTATGGGAACAAGTAAATGTGTCTGAATCTGTAATCTTAAAATGATTACTTTTTTATTTACTGAAGAAAAAAGATAATTTAACTAATATCTTTAATCCATGATACATATGTAATGGCCGTCTTGTAGTGCACTCAATTTCGTATGTCGTTTCTTACTACATGTTTTGGCAACATAGTGCCATCTTCATGTTCGTTATTTATGCTAAGCTATTACATTGTTTGCC